ACTTTGATGATTTTTTATTACATGATTTCTTCTCTTGTCTGGGAGCTTGTACAGTCGTCACCATTTCTTTGGTATCTCCAGACAATTTGTGAATACGAATAATGACTGTCTGTAATTTCTCAAATTGGTTAAGAATCGAAATCTCATGCGTATCTGAAACTGCAGAGTTAAGTTTATTGAGCTCTCTCTCTTTCTGTGCTGGAATCTCTTTTCCTTTGGCCAAAACAGATATTTTATCCATCATCTTGGTCATCTGCTCCCTTATTTCTCGTATCTCCTTTTGCTCTTCAATGGTCATACGATCTTTGGGTGCATAACTCGTTTCTATCCTCAGAGTTTCCTTAGGATGTCTTTCTTTGGCCGCATCATATTTTGTTTGATCATAAAACTTTTTGTCCATTTACAATTTCTTTCCAATATGATGAACAGTCTTTCAAGTAAACACCTTTTGGTTATGCTATGATCATGCAATGCAAACAAAAGAAATAAAAAAATAAAATAGTTAGTACCAACTAATGAAAAAATCTATCTATCAAGGTATAAATCTTAACCTCATGCTTTCTAGTTCCATACTTTGTTTGGAAAATTTAACCTAACCGCATGATTTTTAGTTCGCAGGCATTTATTCATAAAAAATAATAAAATAAAAGCTAAAGCTTATTTCTCCTTTGTGTACACCTAAGGACAGAGGTTCAGTACTGTCTTAGATTAGGAGGAGTTCTAAGTTTTATTACATGTAGGGTTTTAGTTCTAGGAGTAAGGTACTCGAATTGTCCTTGTTAGTGCCCCCTTGAGCTGTCAACCCTCAATCCTAGTCCATTACAGACTTAAACGGACCGAGTTCAATTCGAGGGGATACATTTCTCTATGACTAACACGGAGAATAAATTCTCACGAAGACATAGAGCATATGAACCCCGAAAGTTACTTGCTAGGTCTGACACGGAGAATAAATTCTCACGAAGACGTCGCTTTCACTCCCACTTAAAAGGGACAAGCTAAATTATAGAGCTTTATGTTATGCAATGCAAGTGTTGTGTGTGAGGAGAAATATTCAAACTCTAACAGATAAATAAAATAATTAATACCTGAATAAAAAAATATTAATATAAAAATAATAAATAATAAATTTGAAAGAAAAGAATTAAAAATTAAATAAATGAATTTTTAATTTCTAATTAATAGAGACAATTTATAATTGATTTTAAAGTTTGACAAATCCCCAGCGGAGTCGCTAAGCTGTTGTAACCGGTTTTCGTCCGGGCACAAATATTTATTTGGTGGGAAAATTGATGTGAATAAATGGTTTTGAAAATAATTTGGGAGTCGCCATCGGCCTTTTGGGTCAGGTAGGTCGAATACCTAAAAATTATTTTTTTAAAAGAGTTTTAAGAAAACATCAATTAAAAAAATGAACTGATCTGCATTTATAACCAAAAATTCATTCTTTTTAATAATAAAAGGGATTCGTGGTCGGTTACGTTTAGGGAAGGATTAGCACCCCTACAACGCCCAAAATTGGTACTTTTTAATTATAAATTGTCTCTTTTATTATTAATTTAAAAATTCAAAGATATATTTAATTCATAATTCTACTATTTAAAAATATCAGAAAATGGTTTCTAGGTGACTTTAAAACAGCTCTTTTCTTTGATAAAAATAAATATTAAAAATGTAATAAAACTAAATTATAATTTTTATAATATTTAGTTATTTAAAATACCAGAATAGGACATCCAGTTGTATTAAGACTGCCATTTTCTTTGATATTGAAAATAAATAAACATTATTAAATAAATAAATAATATATATATTTATAATATAGTAAAACAATAATTAAAGTAATAATTTAAAATATATTAAAAATAATAAAAAATAAATTAAGTTAAAATATAATTAAACAATGACTAAAATAAATAAAATAATAATAAATGTAAAATTATTTAAATTAATGAACATAATTCGAATCATCATAAAATAAAATTACTAATAGTGTAATTAACCCTTAATTAATTAATCAGTGATTAAAATAAAATTTATCAAAGTTTAAAGGCTCTATCTCGAATAAATAAAAATTCTAAGTGCTAAAAATGTAATTTAGCCTTATTTAATTAATCGGGTTAAAATAAATGTTAATAAAATTATAAGGTACTAAATCAGTTATTTACCCTAAATATATATATAAACTGATAATGACTAAAATGTAATAAAATAAAATTGAATGACATAATTAAAAGAATCAAAACTTGCTTTCAGTGACTAATTTGTAATGTTACAAACTCGGAGTGACTGCGGAAAGGGTTTAACCATACATGTAAATTACGCATATACCCCTTCCCAAAACGACGTCGTTCAGGAAGGGATATATATATCCTAAACGCCTGGCCCGAAGGGCCAAGCTTTCCCATTTCTTTCTTTTCTTTCTTTTTCTGAGAGAGAAAGCTCTCTCTGTTCTCTCTAAACTCTCTCCCCGGAGAGAGAGCTGATCACCGGCCGACAACCATTATCCGCCGCATGTTCCACCGCCGGCCACCGTCTCCGGTGGCCGGAAATTCCCAAATTTACCTAAAGTATAGATCTAAACGCCCTAAGACCGATTCCGGTCTTTGTTTTCCCAAATTTTCTGTTCTCCGACGATGTTTAGTGCTTCCGGCGATGGTCAAGGCTCCAAGGGTAAGTTTCTTTCTTCTTTCTTTGTTTTTTGTTTTGGTTTTCTGTTGGTTGTGGGTTCGTGGCTTGTCTTTGTTGCCCCCCTTTTCTTTTGCAGGTGCGATGGCTTTTATAGCCATGGAGGTACGCCCTTCAGACCGATTCCAGTGGGGACTTCTGGTGAGTCACCATAGCTATGGCGGTGACTCACCATAGGGCTCGATGTGGGTAGTTTCGTGGCGTTCTGGAGACTTCTTCATGGGAGTCGTGGTAGTAGGGGATCGTCGGCAGCATATGATTGGGTCACCTGGCAGTGGGAGTGTCGGCAGAGGCGGCGGCTGGCCTTCTGGAAGCATCAGAGGCGGCTGAGGCGTGAGATGAGAAACCCTAATTGGGTTTTAGGATTTGTAAAATGGGCCTCCGGATCCTTTGGGCTTGTAATAATTATTTAATAATAATACACTAATAATAATATTTAATAATAATAATAATAATAAATTTAATAAAAAAAAATTTAAATGAAAAAATGATATCTACAGTACAAATCTCAATAATTCAAATACCATATATCAAGAAAAAAAAAACATGAATTTTCCCAATCAACTAAGCAGAACAAAATCAGCATATACCATATCGGACAATTTCACTACGCTGAAAAAAAAAATGTAAAAACAACGACAAGGAACACGATTACAAAATGAATTTAAAAAAGAAGAATATGAAGAAAAACACCTGGTGACAAGTTTTTCCATTTTCAGTTTCAGAAGTTCGAATTCCACTTCCCTTAGTTTGATTCACTTCCTCGATTTTGGAAGGAGGAGTTGAAACAACGGCCATTTCTTCTTCTTTCTTCTTTTTCCCCCTCGGACTCTCAAGCCTCAGCCGATCGAACTCTTGTTGGGTTTTTTTATTGGAAGTTTTTCAAAATTGGAATTGGATTTGGGTTTCAGTCTCCCGCTTCCCTTGTTGTCTAGCGGGAAACAGATTTGAGAGATGAAAGCAGGAAATTTTTTTTACAGTAAATAGGGAGGAAATTCCCGGGAATCCAAATTTTCAATAGTGTTGGGCGCCAATTTGTAGTAATAATAGATATAACCGTGCCCTAATAAAGAAATCGAATTGGCCATTTGAGAGATTTAGTTGGGCTTGACCTCAAACCCGGCTCGTTAATTTTTCGGTCCGGCAGCGTGTTCCGGTCGGTTATTAATGTAGAAAATGGTAATACATACAACATTATAATTTTATATAAATCAATAAGTATTAGGTAGAATATTATCTTTATAAGAAATTATTCAAGTTTGAATTTAAAGATGATATTATTAACTAAGACAAACACAAATCTTGAATATAGACCATAAACCCTTTATCTAATATAGGTTTAAAGGTAACTTTTGCCCATATTATCACTTTTACGCCTATCGTATTTTCGAATCAATTAGTCCTCAAAATTATTTAATTGCATCATTCTATATCTTACTCCCAACTTAACATCTTAAATTATAAACCCTAAATCAAAATTTAAGGTTTGTGTGTTAGATGCTATGTGGTTATAGTATAGGGTTTAGAGTTTATAATTTAAGATTTTAGGTTAGGGATACAGTATAAAATGATACAATTGAACAACTTCGAAGATTAAATTGATACGAAAATACGATAGGGGTGAAGGTGATAAATTAAATCTACTACTAGGACTAAAGTTATCCTTTCTCCTAAAATATAAAACAAACTACATGTGTTGTTAACTTCATTGTAATCGGTGAATATCAATCTTAAATTCTACAAGATAATTATACTGTCGATTTTCAATCGCTCAATTCTAAATACGGGGACTAACTGGTTGGTCAGTTAATAAATACATCATCCCTGTATTTTCACCCTCTCCCCATCAATTCGAGCAGATTGGGGTAGCAATCCATCGACAGGTTTTATGTCGATATTTGGTCTGATTGGCGGTGTAATTCTGTGATAGCCAGCCTCTTCCACCACTTTGCTTGGACATATCATCAGCCTAGCTGCTTCAGCTTCTTTGGCCGTCATTTATTGGGCAGTTACTGCTCTTGCTTTTGGGTACCTCTACTACTATGATTCCTCTCATAATATTTTAAAGGTAATCGTTTTTTGCCATTTAGAGATGAAATAATTTTGTAAATCTCCAAAATAAGGATTACTGGGTCACAATTATAGAGTATAATTTCTTTTAATTTTACATTGATTTAAGATCAATTCCCATCATGCTTATTAAACATAATTATTAATTTTATAAAATATTCAAAATACTCTTTCCAGCATCCTAAGAAATAAAAGTCACCAAGCAAACGGTAGAAACATGGATAATAGCTTCCAACAGCAAGTAACTAAAATTCAAAGAAAAGGATGGATTGGCAAACCCACTAATTCAGCACTACCACATGAAAAACAAATCAAACCAAGTCAAATTCTTCTTGTTCAAAAATAAGGCACATAAATAATTCAGAGGAACATTATGACTCCAAGATGAATGCATTTAAAAAATAAAACCCGAACCTTCTGTGACAACCCACATTGCATCCATGTATTGTATACCTGCAGATAAGGCACAGAGCACAATTCTTATGAATTTATCTCATCACTGCTGTACCTCACCTGACTCTTTCGAAGCTTCCTTGATCTCATCTCCAGCCTCATCCTAAAACCAAGGAACAAAACACAATGATCACAAACAAGAAATCATCTGAATAGAGGACTTGAGAAAATCCATCAACTAGAAAAGGAACATCCGATATTAATCAACGAAACAATTAACAGGAGTCATGACATAACAATAACATCAGATCAGAATATTAGTTCTGAAATTAATGTGATAAGGTGAATTGTGTTTGCATGTATAATGTGGCAGAACATTCTTGTTTCTTACTACGGTTAAAGAAGCAAGGGATTATCTTGGAGATCAATTGAAACTTAGGGATATTAGTCCAGGCATTAATTTATAAAATGTAATGCCTAGAAATGTAGATAACTGTAGTCATGATGATGAAAGCAAAACGGTTTGCTTGAGAACATAGCTTTTGACATTTTTCAAGTCTATGTCGGTGCAAAAAATCATGGCAATTTAAAGAGAGATTTATTTGATGTCTAAAGACAGCAGAGCTGCATGAAATTTTCATGATTACACACAAAAGGGAGAGAGTGTGCTGTGAGATACCATGATGTCAGATGTCCAAAGCGTCAGATTGTCCCGGAGAAGTTGCATGATTAATGTACTATCCTTGTAAGATTCCTCGCCCAAAGTATCCAACTCAGAAATAGCCTCATCAAAAGCCTGCCAAGTAAAAAAAATCATTTTAGCTGACAAGCAACCTTTGGACAATCACTTCATGTCATTGAGAAGCCATTTGTGGTTCTTCACATAAGAACAATCTAATCCTCATAACTTGAATACACTAGATTAATAAATCCAAGTAAACGGATATCAATTTACAACATTAGCAGACTTCATATAGATAAAAGCAACCATAAACATTTCAGATCAGACTTGGTCTAAGCTAGAACACATAAAACTTAATTCAATGATGGCACAATAATTCTTTTAGGTGTTAACAGGTTGGCTCCTCAAACATTCAACTAACTTATATACAAGGAGCTGCTATCACAATTAAATCCAGTTCGGGTAGGATTAAATTAAAACAATTTACTATGCCATCCAAAACCAATGGACCACACCAAAACAGTTAAAAACTGCAGAGTTTAGTTTATTAGCTGTTCCAGATCAATGACTGAATTAAGTGAATAAAAATAATAAAAGAAGATATTAATAGCAAAGCAGTAGAGAATAAACACCTGTTTTGCAAGATTGCAGGCACGATCAGGTGAGTTGAGGATTTCATAGTAGAAAACAGAGAAGTTAAGAGCAAGTCCAAGCCTAATTGGATGAGTAGGAGCAAGCTCAGCAAGAGCAATATCCTGCCATCATAAACAAAAATAAAGAGAAGCTAAGAAATTCCATCTTAGCCTTTCAGTAGATGCTCAGGAACTATAGAGAAAATAACTAATATCGACAAAACAGCAGCACCAATTCACCCACCTGAGCAGACTTGTAAGCCAACAAAGTGCTCTCGGCAGCTTCCTTCCTCTCAGCACCAGTCTTAAACTCAGCAAGATACCTGTGATAATCACCCTTCATCTTAAGGTAAAACACCTTTGACTCAGCGGATGAGGCCGAAGGGATGAGGTGAGATTCAAGAAGGTTCAAAATCCCATCACAGATCTTGCTGAGCTCAGCTTCAATCTTGCCCCTATAATCCTTTATTTGTGCAACATGATCTTCATTTCCTCTGCTCTCTTCCTTCTGCTCAATGGAAGAGATGATCCTCCATGAAGCCCTCCTTGATCCAATCACATTTTTGTAAGCCACAGAGAGAAGGTTCCGCTCCTCAACCGTCAGCTCCTCAACATCCACCGTCTTTGCAACTTTCTCCATGAACTCCACCATTTCCTCATAACGTTCGGCCTGCTCAGCCAACTTGGCCATATAAACATTTTCCTCTCGTGATGATTCTGTTGGAGACATCTTTATAATATCAATCTAACACTTAATCCTGCAAAAACAGAAAGATTTACTCTTGTTATACAAACATTTCTAACCAAGTCCAGGGTCTAAACAATAGCACCCATATCTAGAACAATCATTCGATACATTCTCACCCTTCAACCCTAAAGCATCAAAACGGTATTCAATTTTAAGTTCTTTGTTTTTTCAAATTATCTAACTCACAGATCCGATCTAATTTGTTTCAAAAATACCAAAAGGTACGTCCTAAATTTAATTATATAATAATAATAAGATCTAAACAGCGAGGAAGACATGTCATTAGCACTAGCTCCTATCTTTTCCGTTCCAACAGTTTCACATTATCTAAACTGTTGTTTTTTTTTGTTAGAGAAACTTTTCCAGTTTCAATTTAGCCCAATTTCTAGGAACCGAACAGATCGCAACAAAAAGAAAGGAAAAGAAAACCCTAAGTAGTCAAATCAACCAATGAAAAGATCAAATACTAAACAGATTGAATCTAAACCACTAAGATTAACCCAGTAAAGAAAGCTGCAAAACCATTCATTGCATCAATAAAAAAGCCATTAACAAAATCAGAGAAATGAATGTAAAAAAACAAAAAACTTAAAACCCTATAGATCTCAAAGTAAAGTAATAAAATCCAAAATTATCAATAAGACGCTGATCCAGAATAACGTACCAATCGACGATATTTTCTTCCCTTTTTAATTTTCCTTCAGATTTGTTGGTGGAAATAAGAAGGCGGAGAAATTTATTTTAGGGAGTGAAGACTGAGGAGACCAATAGGGCTGATTTTTTTAGGCAAAAATACATCATAGGTCGCTTTACTTTTGAAAGAAACCAATATGACCCTCGTATTATCTTTTCTTTTAAGATAACCCTCCAACTTAGAAAATAAACTCAGTTTGACCCTTTGACCAACTTTTTTTCATCATTGACTATTACGGTGTTGATGTGACAATTCACTGTACTAACATGATAGTCCATGATACTAACATGACAATCTTTTAACTTAAATTTATTTTTTGAATTGCAGAACTATATTAAAAAAATAATATGAGTTCCACATTAATTTTTCTAAAAAAAATACAGGGATGTTTGATGCTTTTTGTCATTTTTATTATTATTATTTTGTTTTTCTAGGAAAACTGTAACAAATGGAGAATGAGAGAAAGATAGAGAGGTCCAATGATCATGCGACAGGTGGCAGATAGCAGAGATTCCCGTGGGCTTTGGTTTGGGCCTGTCACGCTGGGAATTGAGGCATAGTTTCATAAAATGTTTAAATAAATAATTAATGAGTAAAGTATACAAATGATCATCGATTATAAGATATTACTTTATTAAGTCCCTAATTATTAAAATTTGTAAAATGATCCTTTAACTATAGAGTATTGTTTTGTTGAATTTTGACTACTAAATGTTATAAAATGATCACCCGACTATTCATATATTTCAAACTTATCATTTTTAGTTAAAAAATTTGAGGTCGTTGAGTTGTGCATTAACTTGTTAACTAGAATATGATAAAATTTGATCCTGGAATTGTTTTAGTTGTATTTTATAGATCGAATCTCCATTTACATTATATCTTCACATCAATACTTGAAATATTATGTCGTCGATTTAGTGCTTGAAAGCAACGATGATGTACGTATACACCATTAAAATGTGATTTTATTATATCGCAATTATTAGGTTAACAAACAGGTCAGACAACAGATCAAATTTTTCACGAAAAATAAAGAGTTTGAAACATATTAATAGTCAGAGAACACAAAAAATAGCATCCTATAATTAGGGGATCATTTTATAATTTCTAATAGTCAGATGACTCAACAAAATAATGCTCTATAGTCAGAAGACCAATTGTATACTTTACCCATAATTAATCTATATTGCAATATATAAAACACTTCTAGTTAAATCGTTGTCAGGTAATTTGTTTAATACTCCATTGTTTTATACAATCTCAGGTTTATGAGTATGTGAGCAGAAAGTTGATGACATAAGAAACACTGCAATCAGGTAATTCAGTCCTTAGTTTGATTGCAAGGAAAGCTCATTGTTGAGGGTACAAGGGGATGATAATCTGATTCAGATATGGAAAGCTCATTGCAGATATATATATATATATATATATATATATATATATATATACTGGACATGGCTGGTGCAACAGCAACAGCTATGCATATGGAGGAGGAGTATTCTCAAAGCTAACAACAGATAACTAGCTTAGAAGTAGAAGAAGAGATGGATCAAGACACAACTCAAACAGACAAAGCATAGCCTTCAAAGAAGGTAGATCACAAGATGCAATTGTTGAATGATATCTACCCTATGAAAAATCTTACATCACAAAACCATTTAAGCCTGCCTTTGACGTCTACATTAACCGAATCACTACATAAAACACATATATGTAAAGCCATTAATCCAACAAAACAAACATTGATACTGGCGGACAGTCTTCCGTGACTGAAAATATATAAATCAATAGAATGATAGGGAAAATGCTACTTACATTAGATGGAACTTGAACCTATCGGATGTCGATACATATCCTAACTGAAAATATATATAACTTCCATAATTAGAACAATGTTTCGAGTTTTCCCTACGATAAGTTCAATTTCTCGACTCTAAAATCGTGTATAACCCTAAGCAATATAGAACTTATATTGCGACCGTTACGATCTAGTGCTTTTATTCCCATCTTGGCGTTGCTTTTTCTATCGACAATAAACTATCGAGACAGTTCATTGAACTAGTTGACACATTTACAAACTCCTTACACCAGCAACAAACACAATCTTTCTTAAAATCAAGAGCTCCACCAATATACAAGTGCAATGATATATATATATATATATATATGTATATGACAGTCGATAGTAATATTTCTGTAGAAATTCCATAGTGTTTCGTCAACTACCAGTCATCTTCATTAGTATTTTATCTTCACAAATCCTTTATGATTCTCCTATTAGAAAGACTAGCTCCATTCCAAGGCTAGACTATTGTTGATTCAGATTAATCAAAGGGTTTGAATACACCTGCTAGTTTACACACACACTTATATATATTGTTAGAATGCTCGAGTATGATTTTGCACAGTAACCTGGCAAAGGGAGATGTTAATCAGTCTGGACCACCAGTGATTTCAGTAAACCTAGCCATATACCTTCAAATTTTTTTTGAAAAGGATATGTTTCTCTTGCAATAGAACTACACATGTAATAAAATGTATTTATTCTACTAATCTTATTTGACCGAATCTGAAAAAAGGACAGAAATTAGAGTCTGATAGAGATGACAAAAAGAATAGAATTTGCACCAAGTAGAGCCTATAGGCCGTATTCAAGTTTCAAGTGACCTGTCTCAATCAGGTTCAGACATAACTCAGATTTGAACAGTACCAGTGACCTTCGAATGCAAACAAGTTCATATAGATTTTTCAAGTTCGTACCCCAAAAGAAAGGATTATTGAAATGAACTGCTAGAGTTTAGAAAAGAAAGCAGATATTTCAACTTCATACTATAAAACACCTGGTACATAAGCATATTAAAACAATTTTTTAGCAGTAATGGATTTGTACCTAAAGACAACACTCTAGACTCTGTAAGACACTGACAGCAAACAACAAACATCAAGTCAACAACAAGAACTACTCCAAAGGGTTTATTCAAACAGGTTTTCTTCTAAAGCTTTTCGGTTTCATCGTCATCCTTAAAGTTCCAGGAGCATCATCCCAAACTGGCTCGAAGTTGACGTCTCCAGAGGGTTCGCAAAACTCATTCCATGGTTCGCTACTGGAATGCCATCTCCAGCTGTTGGCAGTCCAGCAGAAGCTGCAGAAGCAAGTCATCAGCAGAAACAAATCTTCTCTTAGCCAGCTATAACCGACTGTAACTATACTATACACGTGGCATTAGCTAAATGGGTCAGTTGTTAGTTAGTTAGCAGTCTGTTAGCAAAACTGTTAGTGAATCAGTTAGCTATAGCTGCACACAATGTATAAATTGAATGTAATTCAGCAATGAAAAGCAAGTTTCCAGAAATGCTGTTTTCTTCGCATAGCACCATTCCAACATGGTATCTCTCGCCAAAGATCTTGGGATCTTCCTCCACGCTGCTTAAAGTTTTCTTTCAATGGAGTTTCCTGCCAATGCAAAGTCGTTCACTCACAAGAAAGTAAATATCATTCTTGATGAGATGAACTTTCTGCTTTGGAAACAACAGATTCTGCTTACAATTCGGAGCCATCGTTTAGAAAGATTCCTCACCGGTGCTGTGGCAACTCCACCTGAAACGACTGTCGATGATGATGGCATAACACGAGTCAATGAAGCCTATGAAGAGTTTATAGCACAGGATAGTGCTATCGCCTCCTGGTTACTATCAACGATTAGCAATAATCTTCTTCCTCAGTTTGTTGGAGCTGAAACTGCGACAGCCGTATGGAACACTGTTCTTCAGTTTTTCGCCAATCGCTCCACTACGGCAGTGATGAGTTTTCACTATAAACTTCAGTCCCTAATGAAAGGAGGTGACTCTATGCGTACATACCTTACTCGGGTGAAGGAGGTTTGTGATGCCTTAGCCTCTTGCGGCAGTGCAATACCTCAAGTCGAGCACATTGCAAGCATTCTCAAAGGCCTTCCACGGGAATACCAGCCCTTCATGGCTGTTATAACCACAATGAGAGAGTCTTTATCCTTGGATAACATCTACACCATGCTTCTTGATGCAGAAACACAACTCGCCAGTTTTGAAGATCAATTGGAAACCTTACAAATGAATATAAATGTTGCTCAAGGGGAAATTCGCAACTCAGTAAGTTCCAACTCAGGTTATGATTCAAGGTCTGGAGCTCAAACAGGTGGTAGAGGTCGTGGTAAATCAAAAATGCAATGTCAACTCTGTGGAAAAATAGGCCAGCTTGTAGACCGGTGTTGGCACAGATTTGATGAGGATTTTTCATGTGTAACTGCATCAACTCGTGGATCCAATCAGTCAGACCGTCGACCAACTTCTTCAACACATAATTCACCCTCTGATACTGGATGTGAATGTTGCGCCAAACGTAAGTCTGCCTCATCTTTAGCCGTTCAACCACAAGCAAATACCTCATCCATGTCCTCGGATCGCTGGGTGGTAGACACTGGTGCCACACACCATGTGACCGCAGACTCTAATAATGTCTCGACTGTGTTTGGACTTGCCTTGTTTTCACAAATTTCCTTTAATGATTTTAAGTATTTATTTAATCGGCAAGCAATTTTTATTAAAAAAATCAACCTAACAATTAGTAGTATACCTCATTAAAAAAAACCGTAATCTTAAATGGGGAAAAGAGTGCATACCCCAAAAACCGGACACAAAGCTATGAGCAAAACAACTAAACGAAGCAAGCAAGCAGCTAACAAGGACCCTGTTACAACCTAAGGCAAAAACCACCCATCTTCACAATCAGCCAAGCGCGAAATCACAGAGTTTACCACCACGTTATGAATAGTTCATGCCTTGACAAACAATCAGCTAATGAACTGCGTGAGGCCTTGCTAAAAGGTCTCCAGAAGCACGACCAACACAATTAAAATCACTGAGTATGAAACTCCATCCACGCCTGCAGATGTAGCATCTTCTACACCACAGTCTCGAGCAGGCCCTGATCGAGAAAATGACCTTAATTCACCACAATTCGAACATAAGAACACCACCACCTCCCTCCTCGGACATGCCAACAAACATAAGAGACCAAGCAGAAGCAGCAGGGGGCCTCCACACCTTCTCAATGCAACACAACCAAAAGCTCCAAACAGCTACCGAAAAAGAGGCCAGCCACACACTTCTCAGGTTAATGGCCAGAATTTGGGAGAAATAGAATTGAAAAAGCTCCTCAACACTTCTCATATCACCCCAAGACACGATCCACCACTATGCGAAAGCTCACCAAAAACAGCCGATAAAGCATATTACTTAAGAACCAGCAGATGCATAAACAAATGATTTTATCTCTAAAATATCCTAATGAAAGCCTTTGAGACGATTAAAAAATTCAGCAAAATCGAGTCCACGGCTCTCCATATATGGTGTAAAATACATTTCTGTATATTATTAAAGTGGTGAATAAGATCCAAGAAAATCCAAGCTATGCAAAAAAAAAACTGTATATTATTAAAGTGAAGGATTTCTAATCAAAGTTTTTTGTTTACCTGATACCACAAGTTGCTGGAGTTGTTGTAATCATCCGATAAAACTTGAGTACTGGAAGATGTAACCTAATTGAACAAAAGGCATTGATATTGTCATTCTCAGGAGAAAAAAAATTAATATAAAAATAAATACTTAAATTATATTCATTTTCTCATTTAGGTGTTTATAGGGGTAAAATTAAAAATTTATTATAGTAGGAGTTAAAATAATTTTTTATTTTTTATAAATACAATTTTTTTTAATTTAGAGTGCCTGATAATTTTTTTTTATTTTTTTAAAATATATATTTTTTTATATTAATTAATAATTAAAAATATAATTGACATGGCCAATGGTCTCTTTAACTACTACGGACGTTAAAAATTTTCGTTAAATAACACGTGTCATATTTTAGTAATTTTAAATATTTTATATTTTTAAAAAACTTAAAAATATATTAAAAATATTTTTTAAAAAAGAATCTCCACCAACACCCAACCCCGTACCTCACCCTTTCCACTCCCTCTCTCTCTTTCCCTCCTCACTTCCCATGACCCCCAAACCATTCTTTTTTTTTTAAGGAAAAGATCCTTATATTCCAATAGCATCATTAATTACATCTTGCTTAATACAACCAGGTTCATCAAGAAAGAACCAAACTGGATTGTTGTTTGATAAGGCCCATTGAGCAAGAACATGGGCGACACGATTAGCTTCCCTACATACATAGTGGACTTTAAACATAGGGAGGAAAGCGAGCATCCGTCTAGCCTCATTGAGCAGCAATCCAATTGTAGAAATATCATGTATCTTGCCCGACCCCTGATTTGACAGCCTATAAACTATCGACAAGGACCATTCCAAGTCAATGGTGGAAGCAGATTGAAGGGGCGCCAACTGTTATTATTATTGTTTACAAAATGGGTATTTGTAATTTTAGGAATTTATGGATTTGAGAATTTAGGGGTTTAAAAAGACAGCAAGAATGATGATCAGTCAGTGGTGGACGATGAAAGATGGGTGGTCGTTCAACGGTGGATGGGTGACCGGAGATGACAAACGGTAAGAGTCAAGGGATTAGAATTAAAGATTTAAAGAATTTGGGGTCTTTTTCTGAAATTTAAAAAAAGAATAGGTTTTTTAAATAATAATAATAATTTTAAGTTTTTTATTTTAAGTAAAATTTTCAAAATTATATAAATATGACATGTCACTTAACTGAAACTTTAAACGGTCGTTACGGCTGAGTCGCTTAAAATAATAATGTTTGTACCGTTAGACACCTAAAACGATTGAAAGAAAATTTAGGCACCTAAATGAGAAAAATGATATATTTGAGTATTTATTTTTATATTAAGCCAAAAATAAACATCTTTTAGTTGTAAAATAGCATTTCAATTGACCTAAAGTATCCGAAGAAACAATGCACACACAGTCGCACACATGTATTTATACACATGCATGTGAGCATATGTAAATATAATTTTCATGAAAATAGAAAGCTATTAGCTGAAATTTGATGTAACACCCTAATTTAGGGGTTAAATTTTAGGAATTTTAAAGTGGTGAATTTAATTTGTTATTTTTGAAGAACATTGAGGATTAAATTGTAAAATCGTAAAGTTGACATACCATTTTAAGAAGTACAGGAAGTTCAATGACTAAACGCATGGTTTACCCATTTTCTTTATGGGATGAATTATAACCCCTCATCCCGTGTGTTTTTCTGCAGAAATTTCTCAGTTTTTCTTCTCCAACAACACTCTTTTCAACTTCGATCTACTCGCCGTTCGACCTTCGATCGACGAACTGAAACCACCATCGTGTTCGTTGCCGACCGAGGAAGAAAATCCTTCAAACCTTTCGTCGTGAATCGTCGCCGTTCGTCGTTAATTTCAGTCGGATCGTCGGTAATAACTCGATTTTAGTTGATTTTTCGTCGATTCACGACGATCCGGTCATCCGTTTACGACACCTCCCGCACCATCGTGTTCCTTGTGTTGTTCTGAGTCTTTCGGTGTTCTCCTTGTCTCCGTCGACGACGACGCATGAGGAGGTGAAGCGGTCAAAGTTTCCGATCTTTCGGAATCGAGCTCTCCGCCGTTCAAAATTGTAAATCGATCTTGGTAAGTACCTCAAAATCGCTTAAAATTAATTTTTAGGAATTTTTCCAGAAATTTTCCGACACTGTGTTACTGTTCAAGCGCGCCACCCCCCGATAGTGGGCATTGTATGACTGTTAATTTTGTAATTAATTTCTGTTTGGGTACTATTTGTGTAAAATTTGGGTGTTAATTTAGTAAATATTTGTAGAATGGGGATAATTTAGCAATTAATTTATGCTAGGGTGATATTTGTGTAAAATGGTCGACTGTTGACCGACGTTGACCATAGTTGACCAGAACTTTGACCGGCTTTGACCGGGCATTAAACGACCTTTGATTTTGACCGAGTATACCTATCCTGACGTTTTTCGACGTTCTGAATCCGATTTCGCAGTCTATTTTTCGAAATCCGAACCCGAATGCCTTGAAATTGCTAGTCAAATCCATTGACTTTGATTTTGACCAAAAATTTCAAATTTTTGAAAAGTCATATTTTTTGTTTTCGACGTCCTAAATCCGAATCCGAAGTCTATTTCGCCAAATTTGAACCCGGTAAGCTATTTTTCACTGATTTAACATCCGATTTGATCCGTTTTTCAGAATTAAGCTCCGTTTTTTTATGTAATTTCTGTTGATATGGATCTGAGGAAATATTGGAAGATAATTTCAAGATCGAGGGCGTTCGAATGGAATTTAATGATCGATCAGTATGTCACGAAAATTGAGGTAATACTTTACTACCTCTTTATGCTTTATGAAACATATTAATATAAGAAATTGATGGATTGTTAGAATTATATTATGAGTTCTGTGATTAAGATAAATGAATTATCATGGATTTGTAACTTATAATATATGTCATTAAAGGTTAAATGTTAAAGGTATTTGGATGAGAAATTATGAAAATACTCTAGTTGGGTAAAATTACGATTCACTTATATTGTAAGATGACAAGAATTGTCACTAGAAGTTGGTTAATAACTCTGAAAAGACATATTGATCCGGTAATAACTATTGATGTGCAAAAGAAATGTTAGTTTTGCTTAGGAAATACGTATAACTGGTTTTTAACCCCAAAAGAGTTTGAGCAAAATGCTATAAGTCTGTTAAGGAATCATTTCAATATCAGAGAATGTTCGGGAAATCAATTAACCATATGATCTTTAAATTATAATTATTTTTGTTAAGAACTAATATCGAAATTATCTAGTTAAGAAATTACGAATATGCCCTTGAGAGATAAAATAATCCAAGTTGACCCTGAATGAGAAATTACTTTGAAGATTTGTACTTAACTCGATTAAGTACGAATTTGATTGTTAAGATCCTAACTTAGTGCAGAAAGATATTCCGTTGGTAAAAATCTGAGAAGGCACTTGACCCGAAAATATCCGAGTTACGAGTAAATACCTGAAGAACAATTTATCGGGTCCTCTTTTAACATAATTGTTTGAAGGAACTGAAATAAATGATAAATTGGAATTAAATAATAAGACAGGATGGAAGGAAATGATTGAAATACACTGAATCTGTAAAATGACCAAAATACCCCTATAATAGAAATGACCCAAGAATACCACCAAGCTCAGGAATAATTGGATATCTTCGAGCTCTTAAATGAATGAAATAAAACTGAACACCAAAATTACCAAAATACCCTTATGGCATATACTAAGTAAATGCATTGGATTAATTAAGGAATTTAAATAAGCATAGGTATTGGACTACCTTTAAAAGTTATGGAACACAACTTAAGTGAGCAGATCAATCTTAATGATATGTCAGTACATGAACGACATAGATATTATTTGAACGCGTGTTCGTCTTCTCAAGTTTGGTTCGATGATAATTTTGGAAATATTCAGCTCACCAACTCTAGATCGTATTTAGTACTAATAATTTTATATTTGTTCGACAAATCAATCATGAAGATCGAACTGAACTGAAAGTAAGTACAATATGTATCCAAAATTCAGAAATGTCCATAATTACTCTGGAAAATTCCGAAGTAGTTGGAATAGACTTGACTGCTAAATGAACTAGGTAACCTCAAGGACTGAGGATTAAGTAAGAGATTGGAATAAGTCTGAAAACTCGGATGAACTTATGTGATGTATCATCCCTATGGATTATGAACCACAAATCAAGTACGTCATCATTTCCTGATAAAGTTGAAACATGGAAATGAAATAAAGACCATTAGAATACCTGTTAGTCTCCTTAAGATCTGTTTAGTGATGACTCAGAAGGTGATCTATGGATAAGAATTTTTGGTATTAAAGAGTAAATACCCTGGAAGGTTAATGAATTTGACAAGTTGACAAGTATTAGTTCTGGGAGCTATTCCTCTAGAGTTGTTCGATAATTTGATCAATCGACATAGATTGTAAAGGTCCTGAATCTTCGTTATTCCTTATCAGCTCAAATCACTCTGGTCATGTATGAAAACATAAGTAAATCATATGTAAAGGATTTTGAATACCCTTCTGATTACGTAGAGCTTTCGATAAATGTCCGAATAAGATGATCATGATAAGAATATTATGAATAACTGATTATTTTGTCAGTTAACAAACTCTTCTAATAGTGATTCTAATTTCTGACATTCTATCGGTAAATTGAAGATTTGTATTTCTCTACCCGATAAGATTATCCTGTATCTCTAAATAATATCTGAAAATTCTATTGTGTTCCATACTTATATGAATATTTTATCTGATTTCTTATTTGAATTCTGTTTTGACATCTGATATGAAATATGTTCTGTTTCTTAACATGGATTCTGTTATGATAGCTGATCTGAATTATGTTTTGATTTCTGATATCTCCGTTTACCGACGGAGAAATGTTTTATCTGGGGGTTTATTGTTGGAGGAAGATTATATGCAGACTCCTCGGCTTTTTGCTCAGGGTCTAAATGACATGTGCGGTTGGGTGTATGGTTTTGGGGAACCTACACATTTATGATGTAAACGGATTGGGGTATATATATATATATATATATATTTTAAAACATATGTATCTTTTTATTGGTTTTACGGGAACACACTAGAAAACCTATTCTAATCTCCTGAACCTAGATATCCGAAATATTTTCATCTGAAATGAATACTATCCATTACTACCTGCGATATCAATGGACCTCAGCTCAGCCTAATAATCTGTAGATATCTGAACCAATAAGGAAATGTATGTTTATCTGTATCTGTACGTTCTTCAGCATCATCTGATAGTTCTGTATTACTGAGCTTTCCGAAGATCACTCTATTACTCAACATTGCATGTTAAAAGAATCGTACCAGTGCATCTATCGACTTCAATAAAGTAGTTATTCCGGTGTTGCTTGCAGAGAATGGTACACGTGATTAGGAGGCATGTAATTGTATTTTGTTTTAAATACGAGCCTGAAAATCTGTTTTATTTCTGCATACTGATAAATCATTTTATAAGTTACATGTTTTTAATAAAAGTTTTAAATTTTCCGCTATTTTTACAGTGGGTCGCTCCGGTGGCCCTAATGTGACACTCCAGATCAGATCGGGATACCCACATCGGTTTGAGGGGTTATATTTAATACAAGTATAGTAAAATTAAGCCTGATGAAGGCTACATCAAACCTTCAATTGCTAAAATTCATAGCTAAAGGTCAGCATGCAGTAGCTTAGGGGAAAATATTCATGTTAAACTATACTATTATAAATAAAAAACAGGGTTAAAATCTGATAAAAATGTAAAACATGGTGGCAATAGATCCATACCGTAAAACTGGAAATGAATCTGTAGCCCTTTTCTGGTACTCTACTTTGATACTAGACCATGAATAAACATGATTTCACTGTCTTCCCTACTTTCTACCCGTCAAGAACAGAAAGGGAAACACGCAAATGATATTTTGAGACAAATTTAGTTTGCAAACTCAAAAGTGGAAAGCATTAAATCTCCATATATAGAAGTTTC